CGAGACCTGCAGGAACGCACACCTGCCAACTCCAGAACTCGGTGACGATGCACCTGCTGCTTTCACGACCGATTTTGGCCGCGAGCGACACGGACTGCACAAAGCCCGACACTCCCAAATTGGTCCTCCTGTCATGGTGTGGCCTATCAACTCTGGAGGTTATCTGATTGAGCTGGGCCCGGGTCCCAGCAAAGTGAAGGGTCGAAGAGCGGTGCAGAATCACCAAGCAGACAGTCTTCCGCTACTGAACTTCAAAGCCGTTTGCGGCTATCGAGGTGTCCTCAACCCAGGCATTCGGGCTGTCAGATTCTCAGCCTGTTTCCCCGCCGTCGCTGGATAGTGTGCCGCCATGCACGGTTCTAACCTCCTCAGCAGTGTTTCGGTGCCAGAAGGTTATGAGCACAAGCATTTCATTTCCGGGCTAGGCCATCGAGCTGAAGATGAGTTCTGAGCAAACATGCAACAAGAACAGGTAGAGTCCCAAGTGGCCCAAGCTTGAGGCCAAGGATTTCTGGACGCTGGAGCTTATCGAGGAGGCACGGTCTGCGGTCTTGAGAGACCAAAGATCTTTCAAAGACCACATCCCCGCTCCTTGGAGAGACCGGAAGCCTCAGAGACTCGGAGCCTCCTCTCTGTCTGTCCTCAGTTCTGAAGGTCTATTGCTGTACTGGTTTGGCGTCTCAACGGGTTGCGCCATGTACCTTCGCATGCGGCGATGTGCCTTTCACGAAGAGAACTCAAACAGACAGAGACTGGTTGGACTGCAAGGGCCCGGAGCATTGTCGACCCCCTTCAATCACTTTTTTTTGAACAGTGGGTCAAGTGAAATCCTATCATGCTCCTGCGCCACTGCCGCGATGTGCCGTGTGCGTCCGTACTGTTTTGGGGTGCGGATGTCTTGCAACCACAATTCCGTGTGCCACACTGCCGCGGCTGCCCCTCGTGTGTACGTGAAACTCGTGCTGTTACCACATTCCCGCCCAGATGTTGAGCCAGGACTCCCACAGCCACAGTGCTGTGCATGTTCTGGGGCACCAATCGTGCGCTTGCGAAGGGGGCGGTCTTGAGTTTCTTGAGAATGCAGCGGCTTAGACCGCCAGGCCCATTGCTCTTTGATTGTTTGCGGTCTGCACAAGCAGAACGACATGTAACGTGAGAGGTCATGGAGTGGCGAACGGCACCTGCCAGGGTCTTGGACTCCAGGTTTCACATGTCTTCGCGTGTCATTACGGTGCAGTGTCATACGCGGGCAGCCGGCAGCGAAGACAAGTGGAATGTTTCGGAAGCTAGATCCGAGAGGTCGTATGTTGCATTGTGCAATGTACTTCTTTCATTCGTGCTGAGGCCGTCCTTCAAATTCAGGTCCCTGGCTTCGGCGTGTACGCCCCTCAGGAGATAAGTTGGATGCACGGGAGCCAAGAGGAGCTCCGGATGCCGTACAAATTGGGGACTGTTAAAGTTCGAGGCTTTGCATGGCCCGTCCCGTTTCGGTGTCGCTATTTTAGCAGGTTTTACCTGGACACCTTCTGGAACTATGGTTCAACTTTTGGAGCACTGATCGAAGGGACATTTGCCGACTTGTAGCACTAGTCCTGGCGTTGCCTTGTCTGCACAACACATCATCATTGACAAGGAGGCTTCGTCAGGACATTTTAGCATTCGAATTGGCATTGCAAATCAGCTTCTGAAGGCTTGATCATTCCTCTGTCTAGCGTGTGCAAGTCGCAAGGACCTGACTTCACGCATCCATCAGGCTGAGAAGAAGAAGCTCAGGTCCAACCCCTTCGCCGGGGTCGACATCGCGGCCATCGCCAATCAGGCCGCGGTCAAGGCTCGGCTTGTGGCCGCCATCAGCATAATGGTCATCAGGCACCACCGACTTGAATGTGGATCTTCATTCTGACTCAGTCTCCTGGAGGGTATTGAGGGTCTCACGGTCTTCTCATGAAGGATCCACGGTCCCTCACAACTTTGGCTACGGCCAACTGCGTTGCCCCTCACCTCAAAGAGCTAGTTTCGACAATTCGAGGCGGCTGAGCACGGGCTCTAAACGTTTCTTTTGCGACTCTGTACCAAATTCGTTTGGCAGGCTGCTGCTCTGTCGCTGCTGGTGACATTCCAGCATCTTCTCGTCCCGTGAGGCGGTCCGGATAGGGAAGAGTGAGTTGGGTCGCAAGTCTACGCTGTCGTGTCGAGTCTCTGGCAGATCAAACGCTGCGTCACAGCATGTCACAGCGTGATTGCTTGTGTTGCGAGCCTTGTGGAGGTGTCTCGAAGCCATGGCTATCCAGGCCTCGAGCCCACAGCGGACTGGAGGCTCGACGTGGGTGCACTCCTCTCCTTAGCTTCATGATACAGCGAAAGACTTCACCCCCGACGTACGCATATGCGAACAGGTGCTACCGTGGTTTGAGATGGAGGCAGCTGGGCTGCTGAAAGCTGCTTTTACCTGGTCATACCGCGCCCGGCGAAGTGCCCCCGTGGTCGAGGTGGGCCCTAGGCTCTGGAAGTCGCCGCGGGCTTTGGTGTTTCGTTTACGCTCTGCGGTTCTCTGAGATGCAAGGAAGCTGAGGAATTCAGGAAGGGGTTCCGAAGCCTGCAACCATTCAGCGTCTTACAGCCACACGTATGTACAAGTTTGATCAGTTATGCTGACATACTGGTATGCGTATATCATACGAATCATGTCATGTCACGTCATGTCATGTCACATCATACCATCTCATATCATGCATGCATTCGTTCACTTCCGCACGTCCTCTGCCGATGTGCGTGCGCCGGCGTGTGTGTGTGTGTGTGTGTGTTGCAGAAGAACAGCTATGAACAACTCCTATGCCAGGTACAGAGTCTTCGACGTTGAAACACAACAAACTTCTAGATCGTTCGGAGGACCTCCAAATAACGGTGGTAGGATCAACCCGAAGGTTCTGAATTCGCAGAGATTCTGTTAACTGTTTACTATTTACTACTGCAGTTTGCCATTCTCGTGCCAGAAGCTGCAACTGCCGGCCAGAGATCCACGGAGCGGTGCAGAAGCCGGGCATGCCGAGTTCCAGCGGCTCAGAAGGATTCGAGGTTTGCGGGTTAGAAGTTGATGCAAGTGATAGTGAGCTACAGGGTAAAGTAGGCTACATCCCGAATCAGCACCATCAAGAAGAACCGTCAGCAGCCAAAACAAGGAGCAACGAGCGACAAGCCAAAATTTTGTGCGCCGAGGTCCAGGCATCACGCGGAGATGATGTTCCTTCGAGTTCGTGGACCTGCAACCTCGAGCGTCGGTCGCGTCGACGCTGCGGTGGAGCTCTCACCAGGCCTTGCCGTGGCCACTGTGGCCGCCGTGGCCTGGCCCTTTGGAAGCCGCTGCAGCTGCTGGATCGGCTGCGCGGCAGCTGCGTGTCGATGCGGAGCCTGGCACAAGGAGAGGTCGAGCATGAGCCCGGTGTACAAGCGATGTCTCCGGGTTCGCAGTAATTCGATGCATTCATCCTTTTGACAACTCTGTTGCAAGCACGCTCCCACAGTGACAAGATGCTGGAGAAGCGTGTGAACACTGGGAGCCAAAGACTGCTCCCGGTTACAGCCGGGAACTTTTGCTGGCAGAAACCAGTCTGCCATGGCGAAGCATGTTCTTTTTGCCCGGAACCGGCTTCAGCGGCTCGTCCAAGAAGACCGCCGAAACATGCAGACAACACTGACAATACCAGTGGGAGTGTTCTAGGCCGGGTCGTGCGAGCATGTAGCGAGTGTCCTTGACTCCAAAGCGGCTTAGCCCGCTGAGCACATCTGAGCACTTTGTTCATCCTCATTCCAAGACTGCCACGTGCTGATCTCAAGGCCAATCTGACCCCAGGTATGTTCAGGGCTGCACTGCTTTCTCGCAGCTGTTGTCTCAAGACGGCTCGGGCGTCAATGTCTCGTCACTGCCGAGACTGACGTCTCCAGGCCCTCAGACAAGCGTGCACAGGGATAGGCAAAGCGAGGTTTGCGCACACAGCAATCGGTACGCCCGCTACCACCTTCAGACTCTCCTCTGAATGGCATCGGCCATCAAGATCTTTGCGACAGCCAGACGGTCGCTTAAATTGATCGGCAGGAGACAGTAATGGCGGCGGGTCAACCAGACAGGGCCGCCATCTGAGTGTGCACAGCATGTCATCAACCATTGAAGAGATGATTGGCTTGATGAGGGTAGTCGAGATTCACAGATGGTATGCAAACCAATATACGATATGGCTGTGCATTTCGGCTTGCGCGGGTTCGACGAATGCTGAATACTCTTGGAGATTAACAATCCAGGCTGAGTCCGCGGAGTCCAAGTTGGTGGCTGCTGGGGTTTCTCTGAAGGAACTGCAATCAAGTTCTGGTTTCAAGTGCTGGGATTGTTGGCATGGCTCCCAGGGGTTCACAAAAATGGGACATGCTGTTGCTGGCAGTACCCAGTTGTCAGAGCGTCCCGCTTCGAGCTGAATTTCAGGGCTCACACCCAGCCGGTGGCATCTGTTCGTGTACACTACACGTGTGTATGTGTGTTTGGTCATAATATTGCGGACAGACATACATACATACATACGCATATATGGATGTACCATTATGCTAGCTGAGATCCCTAAGCTTGAAAGACCGGACCTGAAGCATGCAATTATGACCAGGAAGTTCAACCACGACCGCCGGGCCGGCGATTCGCGGATACAGGTTGCAACTAGTTGCCATCTGTGTCTTTCCCTTTCCATACGGTCATCACTACCGATGCCATCTGTGTTGTCCCAGCATATGTGAAGCTTTTTGGAAGCACTACGCGCGCTACATTTGTACCTCAGTTGTATTTGAAATTGGAGGCCCCAGAGCTGAGGAGCCTGCGGGAAGCATTCATACATTTCTACTCGAGCACACCAGTTTGACTTGGAGGCCCTGAGGTCCTCCTACCGCGCATCAAAAGCTCAGGCATCCTTCCAGGGATGAGACTGAGGCCACCAACAGACCACCAAAAACCATCAAATAACACCAAGAGACTGCTGGGAAATGATTAAGAGACTACCAGGAGACTACGAGGAGACGCCAAGAGACCACCAGGACACCATCCAGACAACACCGGAATGATCAGAAGATCACGACGACGAGGACGACAGCGACCAGACAGGAGACACCAAGAAACCACCAGGAGACCACCGAGAGACTCACGAGACCACCAAAAGACCAGCAACGACCACCGGGGTGCCGCCAAGAAACACCAAGAGACCACAATCACCAAACCACCAAAAGACCACCACAACACGACGAGACCACAGGAGACCCCAAAAGACTCTCAGGAGAACCAAGAGCCTAGGATGACACTGCCAAAGAAGTGACGCATTCGGAGCCACACAGTCGAGATCGCACACCAAATACCGGTGGCTCGAGGAGGGCGCGAAGGTGTTTTACCCCAGGTGCTGGCGTGTTTCGGAAGCACCAGCTTTCTAGCTTGCCAGATCCAGCGCACCATAGTGGACATTTCTCCCAAGTACTGCCGTGATTCTACGTTTTCGAGATGAAAAACATGGTCCATGTCGTATTATTTACAATGAATCTTGACAAACAACAGGACGTCAGCGAAAAGTATGCACAGCACCACGATGGGAGTGGTCGCGGTGTCAAGATTCGCAGCATTTGCTGTAAACAGCTAACAGGATGCGGGGAGCCTTCGTTCTGGACGCGCCGCACGTGAACCTCGATCAATATTCCCTTTACTTCCAACGTCGAACCCCATAGCGTCAGTGCTTGAGGAATACGGATACAAGTCGATACAATAAATGAATGAATGGATAAACAAGCAAATGTGCATAATTGTGCATACATAGAAACATATATTTATACACCTCTCAAGCTCTGAGCACCACCAAGACTTGTGCACAGGAGCACTGCTTCGTTTGCGGTGAGTAGAATGCATTGACTCATTCAAGGATTAGCACGAAGTTGCTCACGGTGTGTTCGTGCAAATGTGGCACTGCCGGCCTGAAGACCGAGGCAATGCTAGCCCAGCGAATTCAAGGGTTCGGCAATGTCAACCCACCGCCGCTGGAGGTGCACCGCCGTCGTTGCAGTCTATTGCATGCTAGTTCGTAGGGTCGTAATCATGCTGCAGCAGGGCGCTCTTCATCATTAATGTGGCACTGTGACAATCTTTAATGCGAGTTTTCTTGTGCCTATTAGTCATCATAATGCTCCAACAAAAAAACGCCTGGCGATTGTTGTTTCATTTTGCCGCTGCTAGTTGTCAAACCCAGCTGTCTAGACGATAAAAGGAGGCCGGAGACAAGTCATGTTTAGCCGGCCTCAGGCTGGTGGATTGCTGGGGGTGGCGGGAAGTGTCACATGAAGAGTCTTCAAACAGAAGGGTTTTAGGGCTTAGGTCTTAGGTACTTATCTCAGAGTGATCGGGGGTTTTGGTTTCGAGGCTTGGGGGGCGGGGTCGGTCAAGACAGTGCCTAGTTATGGCGCACAAACGCGCGATGCCAGGACGAGACTGGAGCCACGGTGGCCAAAAAAGCCCTCGGGCGCTTGGGCGACATGGCACCCTGGACGAGACCTGTAGTTGTTTGTTGCGTCCCGGTAAGGCTGATCAGTCTCACTGGCATGGGGTCGCGAGCTACTGCACTGCTTGCCCACGGTTGCAGGCGTCAGGTCCGAAACCATGACAGGTTTAATAGGATTAGGACCAGGAAACAAGTTCGGGATCCAGCTTGGTGGAACTATGAAAACCTGGAATTTGTAGCTTAGGATTGCGAGGTCTCACAGTTCAGGAGCGCTGGATTTGAGACGCTGCTATAGAGGAGCCCTGCTGTCGTCACAAACCCTTATCTTTTTCGGAACCAGGCCTCGCACACTTTAAGCTTTCTTACGCGGCTTAGGTGGCTTGGCGATTGCAGACTCTCACGAAACACCTGGCAAGGATCCTGAAAGTAGAAGAACATCGGATAGTCTGAGGTTGGCGAAGAGGTGATGCTAACTGTGGAGGCCAGCTGTGTTCACATTTCACAAGCGCAATTGCTTGTCACCATCAGATCATGACCTAGTCTCGTATTATCATTCTTGGTGCTCAGTCCTGCAAGCTGAATCCGTGGCGCGTCTACAGCATGAGGATTACCAGTGCTGAACATGACTCGAACAAAGCTGAGACACTTGTCGAGTTTGAGTCTGCGGGCCCGTGCTGTGCAGGACTTCAAGGAAAAGGGCGCCGTGGGTGCGGTCAAAGATGCTGTGGCCGATGCAGGCGAAATCCACACAGGGGCCAAACACGGAAGAGCTATGAAATGTAGTGCTGCGAACACAATTGGCTGGCGGCGTCTTGACGCTGAAGCCGAATCCTGGAGCTCGTTTGAGCATATGGACTTTGAATATATGAATATACATCGGATGCAGGGCTCTGGGAGTTGTTGGGCCCAAGTGATGCTGTTGTCTAGAGCTAGGGAGCATACGTAACAAGGAAGCTGCTTGAAAATCTGAATCTCGCGTGTGCACAGGCGA